TGAAGTTCCTGTGGTTAATATTTTGGTTTGAGTAATTGCAAGCTTGGGGTGCTCCTGTTTTGGCAGAAAAATGACTTTATATGGTTGGTAGTCTCCAAGAAGGCAAGCTTCCTACGTAAAGTAGTTGTATTCCAATTCTGGTGTACACATTCCAGAAGATGATTGCAATCGTTAAACTGTGCCTCTGTTTTCAAGTTACTAAACTGATAATTGAGTAAGCTGCCATGCAAGTAACATCATCCCCTCTGAGCATTATTGTGTTGTTAGAACTGACTTGGTGGATCTGTCCTAATTCTTTTTTTTTCCCCAATGTGGTAATTAGGCTTTGGACCATACTCAAACTATTGGGAATGCCTATAGCCTGGTAAGAACGTGTGCATACTCTCATGTTCAGTGTAGCAGTAACACTGAACTTACACTGGTCTCTCGCAAAGAAAAGAATCCTGAATTAGCTTTTCAGATAGGAATCTTCTATCCTTTCACCTGTACCTCTGTTGCTGTATCACAAAATTTTAACTGAATGGCAGTATGAAACTACTGCTCTGGTGTATCCATCTGTGGGGAAAAAGTATCAGGCTTCTAGGGTAAAGTAAAAGTAGTGCAATTTATTTTTGAAAGACAACTTCATACCTCGGCCATAAATAGATTGTGATGTTAATGGGGAGGTTACCAATTAATTTCAAAGTCTGCCAGGCTATAGTATTCCTTCATTGAAGGCTCCATCCAGTAGTTCAACGTATGAGCACTGTTTATCTTTATTCTGCTCTATTAGGGTCAGTGGGTATTCAAACGCTTGGTAAAAAGTGACTTTAGCATTCAGAAGAGGTGCCCAAGGCTTGAGCTGACTCACGGCATGTGACATCTCGTGGAACTGCAGTCACAAACAACTTCAGTTGCTGTCCTAAAGAGTTGTGGACCACAACTCCTTCATCATTAGTTTTCCTGGAAGAGTGTACAGTAACTGCTTGCGTGACAGAGTAGGCCAACAAGCTCTTTATGGGCTGGCCTTTCTAGGTGGATGACCGTTCCGATGATACGGTACAGCAAATACCTCTGATCTTATGCTCTAAGAACTGATAGGAAAGAGT